TGTCCACAGAGTCGCCCGACTGAGCCGGCCTGCTCGATCGCATGAAAAATCGCGTAGTGTGTCCACAGCTTTAGGCCTTAGGTTGGGTGATACTCCATTAGGAGCGCTCCCAACTTTAATGTCATTAATGGTCATATATTAGTTTGTGGTTTAATGTCATTTAGGTTATGGTTAGGGTTAGGATTATCAATCATTCTAATCATTAATCATTAATGATATCCTTCAAAGTTGGGAACACTGCTAATGGAGTGTTAGCCCTTAGGTTGCACTTACCTATGAGTAGCAAGGCGACGGTGACGTACTCGGAGCCTGCGACTGTGACGCCACCTAGAACGCCGAGGATGATGCCGATGACGATGCAGAGCAGTCCGATCATGCCGACGAAGATGACGAACCATCGCATGCCTGCAACAACGATCGTGACGGAGAAATCATGCAGCCGATTATACAGCCGAGCGCACAATGTGTGTTACGATGCACGTACAGCGTGTGTTACGATGCACGTACAGTATGTGTTACGATGCACGTACAGTATGTGTTACGATGCACGTACAGTATGTGTTACGATGCACGTACAGCATGTGCTACGATGCACGTACTGCATGTGTTACGATACACGTACAGTATGCGTTACAATAAACGTACACTCGTACAGTATGTGTTACGATACACGTACTGCATGTGTTACGATACACGTACAGTATGCGTTACAATAAACGTACACTCGTACAGTATGTGTTACGATGCACGTACAGCATGTGTTACGATACACGTACAGTGTGTGTTACGATGCACGTACAGCATGTGTTACGATGCACGTACAGCATGTGTTACGATGCACGTACAGTATGTGTTACGATGCACGTACAGTATGTGTTACGATGCACGTACAGCATGTGTTACGATGCACGTACAGTATGTGTTACGATGCACGTACAGTATGTGTTACGATACACGTACACTCGTACAGCATGTGTTACGATACACGTACAGTATGTGCCATGGTACACGTACAGCATGTGTTATGATACACGTACAGTATGTGTTACGATGCACGTACAGCATGTGTCACGATACACGTACGGTACAGTATGTGTTACGATTAGCACCCCCACCAGCAGCAGCATCAGCAGTAGTAATAGCAGTAGCAACAGCAGCAGCAACTACACTGCTGTAACGAGGCAACGGAAGAACAGGTTCCGTCACGTCATTACCCCTCCCTCCCTCCGCCCTCCGCCCCTAACTCACACACTCACGACCCCACGACCCCGAGTACAACCAGCAACCCGCCTCCTGGTGTCGCAACGAGGAACCACAGCGATCAGACCACAGGCCATTGCAGCGTTTCAATAAAATATAATGCTAAATAAATACGAAATCTATTTACTACCAAAGTCTTAAATGTTTCTCGACTCGCTTGCGCCTATTATTGCCGATAATTCCCTGTAAATGCCGTGCAAATGCTTATATATAGTGTCAGTGTGCGGCAGCGTGCGCGCGGTGTACATGTGTGTTGCAGAGGAGCATTTGCACGGCATGTACAGGAAATTGTCGGCAAGAATAGGCGAAAGAGAGTAGAGAAACTTTAAGACTTTGGTAGTAAATAGATTTCGTATTTATTTATCATTATATTTTATTGAAACGCTCCAAGTGCCTGTGGCGCAGACGACAGCGTCTAGAACGGGTTCGTCTGTTGATTGTATTCCTAGAGTTCCGATATTATTCGCCGTGGCGAAAAACAAAGTGCGGACATACGTCATGCTGTGATCTCTTTTGTAGATCGAGTGTCCCCCTCTAATTCACAGGCACTTGGAGCGTTTCAATAAAATATATTAGTGCATCACGTGATAAATCGTTGAAATTCCATTGGATAACGCAGCAGGCACTATGAAGCCACATACGCAGCGCGCACACACGCACGCACGTACCACACACGGCACGCACACACACACGCGCGCACACACGGACCACTAAACTATCACCATCCTCACCACGAATTGAACCCCTGAACCAGCCAGCAGCCACGTACTGCCTCTACCTTAGTGACGTAGTACTTAGTACCTTAGGCAACGTACTTCTATGCACAGGCACTTGAAGCGTTTCATAAAATATATATGCTAACTAAATCCGAAATCTATAAACTAACCAAATTCTTAATGTTTCTATACTCTCTTCATCCTATTATTGCCGACAGTTTCCTGTCATTCCGTCCAAACCTAACGGTGCAACCATATACGCATGCCGCGACAATTGCTCTCGCGCTCCACTGTTGCACACTTACACTAATATATATAGTAACTAACTATATATATTTAACTTATTATGTGTATTAACTATATATATTAGTGTAAGCTGTAACAGTGGGCGCGAAAGCAATGCGCGCGCCCGTAATATTGTTGCACGTAGAATTTGACAGAAAACTGTCGGCAATAATAAGTGGAAAGAGAGTATAGAAACATTAAGAATTTGGTAGTTTATAGATTTCGTATTTAGTTAGCATTATATTTTTATTGAAACGCTTCAAGTGCGCTGTGCTTCTATGTTAGTAACCTCTGCGCGGGCCGCGTGTTTACAGCAGACGACCTGCTCCTAACAAAGTTACAACAGCCTCGGCGTATTATTTCGGTAATGTTCTGGCCAGGCCTCGGCACGCCGCTGCTCCTGTCAGCTCGGAATAGACACGCGCTCCCTCCGAGAGAGAGAGAGACAGAGAGAAGAGAGAGAGAGAGAGAGAGAGAGAGAGAGAGAGAGCGAGAGCGAGAGAGAAGAGAGAGAGAGAGAGAGAGAGAGAGGGAGAGACGAGAGAGAGAGAGAGAGAGAGAGAGAGAGAGAGAGAGACGAGAGAGAAGGG